TTAGAAGCCAGTGAGCTATTGGCAGGGAGGTAAGCCAAGGAGATGGGAAACGGGAGAACTAGGTGCACTGACATCATCCTCTGTGTGTTCAGCACTAAGCCTGCTGGCCTCAGTCTACTCATCTCTAAGATGGGAATAACAGATGGGTGTAACATAACCACAGGAGCTGCGGGCTGGTAGGCTCTGACCTGTGTAGAGCATTGCTGGGACATTGCTCTCACAGTGGTCATTTTCAGGCAGAAGGATAGCCCTCTCCAGGACAGGTAGAGAGAGCACTCCTGTTCTTGATGCCCAAGATGAGTATAGGAGACAAAGGGTCCGGAGTACAAGACCCATCAGAATAACTCCTGAGAGGGCCTATGAGAAGAAGAGCAGGGTCTGGGCCATGCAATCCCTCTCATGGGCATATGGCAACAATAGCTGCCCTGCACAGATCTGCACTCAGGCCGGTCGAAGGCCCTCTGTCCAGAGCTCAGAGCCATGGTCATTAACCATGAGTGTATTCTCTTTTCCCCAGCCAACAGACAGCGTTTTCATGCTGACTCTGAGAAGCTGAGACGTTCTCACCAAGGGGTTGTCAGAAGGGTCATACGAAGGTATTCGTGGTATTTGTTCTTTCACTGTGCCTCACCTAAAGAAATGTCATTCTCTCAGAGGCAGGAAAACCTTTCATTTAAGCAGTGAGAAACTGAGGTGGTATGATCAATGGGTTTATTGAATTTGTGGAGGGCTTTAGTATGAAATGCAGAGTTCTGGCCCCACCCCAGATCTACTGGTAGAAGGGAACTCTGAGAAATCAAATGTAAGGTATTTTTCTCCTTCCTCCCTGAAACCACACATTCCCCAGGATGCTGGGTCTTCCCACACTCAGCACTAAGAGGCGGCAGCAAAAGTGAAACCTGGGTATGGTGCAGTGATACCTATAATGGTGCAAATTACATCATCTGTAACCTTTTTTCACAACAGGCTGGTTTCAAACAGCTGTAATTTATGGATGTTCTTCTGAGAGGAATTAGTCAATATATTTGTTTTCCCTTTGATATATAGCCACAGGAGCGCATCAGGCATGAGGTTTATTAAGCCTTGCCAATTTTCTGCCGCTTCTCAGCGCTATAGATTTTGCTTGTGGAGTGGGCTGGTTCCACCCCAACATAGAAAAAAATCACTTCAAATACTGAAAAGCCTTCCAGCTCTCAGAACACAGGGCGCTCTAGGGGACCAGCTACAGCTTTGGGAATGAAAGACAACTTGTTCCTTTAGTCGTGGTTGCTGGGGCAGTTAGAGGGCCTGGCAGGAGGGGTGGGAGGCTGCAAGTCACCTCTGTGTCCTAGTTGTTCTCTAAGTGGGAAGATCCATGGGCTGAGACTCCAGACAGCCACAGGACTAAGGGAGAGATGAATTCTCCTGCCACTGCATCTTAGGCTGTTTGAAAAGTAAAGGTCAACCAGAGCCAGGGGTGTTCTGGCTCCCCCAGATGGTCCCCAAGTCAGAACATGGTACAAGTCAACCCTGCCCCTTCTTCCAGTACACCCTTGAAATAGGACACAGCTTCCAGAGTTAGCCAAGGGTACCTGTAAATCTGCAGTGAATCCCTGGGGAAAAAGGCACCCCCAACCCCTTCACAAGGTCAAAAATGTAACCCAAGGTGAAACAGTCTAACCCTTTGAAGAGGGAATGATGGTCCTCAAATGCAGATTCACAGGTACTGCTTCATCTATAATGTGATTCAGTAGATCTGGGGTGGGGCCTAGGACTCTGCATTTCATACTAAAGCCCTCCACAAATTCACTGAATCCCACCGATCACACCACCTCAGTTTCTCACTGCTTAAATGAAAGGTTTTCCTGCGTCTGAGCAGAACGGCATTTCTTTAGATGAGGCACAATGAAAGGCACAAATACCAGGAAAAAATTATAAACGACCAAGAACAGTGTGAGAGATGTGCCCCTTCACTGGTTTATACTGAATACACCCATGGTAATCCCTGCTATAGGCCAGATGCTCAGCCGACATTACCTCGGTTGACCAAGCCCATGTTCCTGGAAGGTAGGTTCTGGCAGTGGAGAGGTCAGACAACTTGCCCTGGGGCACACTGCTGGTCAGGGTCAAAGCCACAATGTGGAGGCTTGCCTGTTCAGCTGCCCACCCTCCCCAGGCCCTCTCTGGTCACGTCCTTACCCCGCCTCTACCTGAAGACATGTTTTCAGGTTGGAAGTGCTGCTTTCATTTTCCTCTCCCCTTCTTTCCTTTGGTCTGATGGCTTTCTTCTCCAGAAGCCACCTCTTCCTTTGCACAATGTCACATCTGGCCATTTTGGTGTCTGGAGCCAGACCACCTGCTGCAAAGTTGAACCCCACCACTTTCTAGCTGACTGATGTTAGTTAACTTACTGAGCCTCTCTCAGTCTCTGTTCCCTCATCTGAAAGTGATGATCATCCTCATACTCACCTACAGAATGGCCCTCTGGTTTATGCGAATTAATGTACAAAATGTGCTAAATATGAGCTTCACACACATGAACTCACACTTCAGAAGCACCAAACTGACAGGTTAGCAGGGAGTGAACATGCTGAGTGGGATAGAGTCAACTGGGAAAAAGCTCATGGCTGAGAACAGATATCAGGAGGGGACACAGCATGAAAATGAGAGACACACAGGACACACATTGTCAGGGACAGATGCAGATCAGGGATCCAGCAAGGACTGAAAATGAGCCATAACCTCATCCCAACAACTGCACAAACAGCCACATCACAGCAAACACTCTCCACACATGCAGCCACGCACAAACGTACAGACACAGACTACACACACAGACATGGAGCTAGACACCAACACACAGACATAGAGCTAGACACCAATACACAGACACAGACACAGCAACACACATATGCATATACACAGACACACAGATACACCTAGACAGACACAGACACAAACATACATGTACTCACAAAGATACATACAGAAATGTGCAAACACACATGGACATAAATATACAAACAGGCATTGACACACAACACACACTTATACAGACACACAACAGACACTTATACAGACACACACAGTACAGACATAGACACATACCGAAACGCACAGAGACATACACATATGTAGACATGCATATACATACAAAGACACAGACATGCATACACACAGACACATAGACATGACAGACACAGAAAAATACACAGATACATAGGCACACATGGATGCCTTCACAACCACACACACACACACACACACACACACACACTGCTCCAGCGCAATGTTTTCAGCCCATCTGGCCTGCATGGTTTCCACAGGCATGGCTGTCTAAATATAGGGAAAGAAATCTAAGTTCTGTTGATAAAATCAGAGTTCAGGAAGAATCAACTGACTTTATATTTGCACAGAAAACCACAGGTCTCTGAGGCTCCCAGGAGACTGTGAAACAAAATTCGTGTATGTTTTAATCCTGTACATATTGACTCTGCCAAGAAAACTGACTCCGAAGAGCAGCTGAATCCACCTAGGCAGCGCCTGGGCTCCCGGGAGGCAGCATAGTGTTGACTTATGTTAATAGCTCCACTGTAAAAGCCCCTCCAGGAAGGCCTGAGACCACCAGGGAAAGGGAGAGATGGAAGGCTGGGGTCTGGAGGACAGGCCTGCAACAAGCTGGGCACTTGATCTCCTCACAGATTTCCCTCCTGCCATCTTGTTCCCCTGACATGTGCCTGACTAGCCCACAGGGCTCTCGTTGGCAATCACCAAAATTATAATGAAGTAGACAAGGGTTGATGAGTGCTTGACTGTCTCTTCCTGGCTGGAATATAACAAACAAGGGAACATAGAGTGTGCATGTTTTGTTCACTGCTGTACTCCAAGGATCTAGCACATGGATGTTCAATCAAAATTAAAAATTAGAAATGAATTAACAAATTGATAGATGATGCTGAGGCCAGTGAAGGCAGCTAGATGCCAAAGGCGTTCATCAGTTTCCTACCCGTTTGGGGAGGCTCCTGTCATCCTCCCCTGACAGAGCTCAGGTGCCCCCATTCCAGTCCTGCTCCACCCTCCCTTTTGCCCAACCCCCACCTCAGTGCAAGGCTCACCTGAGTCTTTCTTCTCACCCGAAGTCTTGCATTATCTCAATGCAAATGAGAAACCACAGGATCATATGTCAAATTTGTCACAGCTGAGATGAAAACCTACCAAAGGGATATCATGGGGGAGGAGGTATTATCAAAAGTGATGGAGATGGAAATCACTAAGGTGAGCCTTTGATAAAATTAGGAAGATGTCTGTTCCCCAGTCTGATTCCTCACCGTGCTCCTCACGCAGGCCCACAGCCTCAGCCAACCGCTGTCCACCACAGGTGCCAGACGGCCAGAGCCTTCACATTCTCCCTCCATCCATTTCACTGTCCCTGGCACAAAAGAAAAAAAAAATGTGTTCTCTGATTAAAGGCTTGGTCAACAGCTGGATTTTATGCCAAAATATGTGAAGACTTCTGCTTCCAGCCAAGATAGCATAAAAGGGGTCAAATTTACCTTCCCTCCTGAAACAAACAAAAAACAGACAAAACATGTAAGACAGTGGTTCTCTGACACTGGACACCTGGTAGCACTGGACAATGATCCCTCAGAGAGGGGAAGCAAACAAGATGAGCCCTATCATTGTTCTAGCTAAGCCTCCAGGGCAAATGATAAGAGAAAAGCCAGGAAGAGGGATCCATCCAGAAGGAGTCCAGTCATCTCCCTGAGCTGAAAAGACATGCTGGGAGTTGTGTGGTGGGCAGCCTAAAAGCCTTAAGATGACTCCCAGTGATCTCCAGTCTAGTATTCACACCATGTGTCATCCCCTCCCCCACTGTCCTAAGGCTAGCCTGGGTGACCAATGTGGGTGCAAGCCATGGTATATGAGGCTGCCAGGTTCTAAAAAGACTAGAAGACTGTGGCTTTCATCTTGGAGGATCTTGATCTCTCTTACTCTTTCTCTCTGATCACTCACTTTGGCAGAAGTTAGATGCCATGACATGTGAGCAGCCCTGTGGAAGGCCCCCATGGTGAAGAACTGAGACCTTCTGACAACAATCGCAAGAGTGGGCTTGGAAGCAGATATTCTGGCACCTTCAGAGGATCACAGCCTTGGCCAACAACTTGACCAAAACCTCATGAGAACCCTGAGTCAGAACTACCCAGCTAAGCGGCTCCCACTTGAAACTAATGTATAAAATCCACAGAAGGTCTGTGTGATAATAATATTTGTTGTTTTAATGACATCATTAGAACCTACATAAATGCAAGATGGGCATCAAAAATAAGATATGTGGGTAAATATAAAATACTTTTGTCTTTATAGATATTTTTTAAGGTAACTGCTTACAGCAAACATAGAAACACTGTATTATGGGTTTTAAATATAAACACAAATATAGGACAATAATTTGTACAAAAAAACTGGAGTGTACTGCTACACAGTCCATATGCTATATGTGAATTGGAGCAATCTTACTTGAAGTCAGATTATAAAATAGTTGGGAAAAAAAGAAACTACAACACTAATTTTAACCATTAGAAAAGGGAGAGTATGACTAAGCTGCCGACAAAGTAGATAAAATGGAATAATGAAAATTAATCTAAAAGAAGGCAGAAAAAAAAAGAAATAAAAGATTGGACAGATAGAAAATAAGTATCAGGGCCAGGTGCGATGGCTCACACCTGTAATTCCAGCACTTTGGCAGGCCAAGGCGGGCAGATCACCTGAGGTCAGGAGTTTGAGATTATCCTGGCCAACATGGTGAAACCCTGTGTCTACTAAAATGACAAAAAATTAGCTGGGCTTGGTGGTGGGCACCTGTAATCTCAGCTACCTGGGAGGCTGAGGCAGGAGAATCACTTGAACCCAGGAAAAATTAGCTGGGCTTGGTGGTGGGCACCTGTAATCTCAGCTACCTGGGAGGCTGAGGCAGGAGAATCACTTGAACCCAGGAAAAATTAGCTGGGCTTGGTGGTGGGCACCTGTAATCTCAGCTACCTGGGAGGCTGAGGCAGGAGAATCACTTGAACCCAGGAGGCAGATGTTGCAGTGAACCAAGACCATGCCATTATACTCCAGCCTGGGCAACAAGAGCAAAACTCCCCCCAAAAAAAAGAAAGAAAAAGAAAAGAAATTTTAAGATTGATTTAAACTCAACCATATCAATAATTATATTAAATGTAGATGATAAAAAATACCCCACATAAAAGGTGGACTCCCAAATTATATTCACAAGCAAGACCAACTATATCCTTCTACCTACAAAAAAGTTATTTTAAATATAAAAACATAAGAAGTTTACATTTGAAAGCTAAGAAGAGAAATCCAAGATGCTAATATTTATCAAAAGAAATCTGGAGTGGAATGGCTTTATCAATACCAGACAAAGTAGATTTCAAAGCAAATAATATTACCAGGCATACAGGGTGTCAGTTTACATCGATGAAAGAGTCAACTCATGAAGAGAACATATCATTATAATGTTTGTGCAACTAGAAACAGCTTTAAAATACAGGATGCAAAACCTGATGGAACTGCAGGAAGAAATTGATATATCTACAATAACAGAAACTTCAATGCAATGAGCTGAGTGGAGGTGGAGGCACATGTCGGGCCAATCATACCCCAGTCATGAGATCAATATTTCTGGGGTAAATGGAAAGAAGCACTAGAAATCAACAAGAGATTTCTGGTCTCAAAGGCAGAGGGTAGCCTAGGTTAGATTAGTGAAGGATAATAAACCACAGAGAGCATAAGCCATCTTGAACCTCCTCTCATAGCCACCATGGCTTCAACTTCTAGAATTCTCTCAGAGTAGGCAGTGCCCACAGGATGCTGCCATTCCAGAGGCAAGCTCTGTTTTCCTACTGCCAGGACCTCCTACTCTACGCCCTACACATGCAGTTCTTGAGCCAGGCGTGGAAAGTTATTACTTCAAAGATTTCCTGAGGTATAATTTCCATATAATAGCCCATAGTAAAGTCTAAAACTGACTGGGCATGGTGGCCCATGCCTGTAATCGTAGCACTTTGGGAGGCTGAGGTGGGAGGATTGCTTGAGGCCAGGAGTTTGAGACTAGCCTGGCCAATATGGTGAAACTTCATCTCTACTAAAAATACAAAAATCATGGTGACATGTGCCTGTAACCCCAGCTTCTTAGGAGACTGAGGCAGGAAAATCACTTGAACCTCGGAGGCAGAGGTTGCAGTGAGCCAAGGTCATACCAATGCACTCTGGCTTGGGTGACAGAGTGAGACTTCATCTCATAAATAAAATAAATAAAAAGTTTAAAATGTATATCACTTTTTTATGCCTGTAAAATTATCACCACCACCACCACACTCAAAATAATGAATATATTCATCACTTTCAAAAGACTACTCATCTCCTTTCATAATCCCTTCCTGCCACCCATCCTGACCCCACTCCCAACTACAGGCAATCTATTTTTAGTACTACAGATCAGTTGCATTTTCTAGAATTTATATAAACAGAATCTTATATTCTCTTTTTCAGTGGCTTCTTTAACTCAGTATAATTTTTGAGAGTCATAATGTTTTATATCTTAATAATTCATTTCCTTTTATTGCTCGGTAATATTACATTGTATGTGTATAACTATCAGTTCACCTGTTGATGAATATTTGGGTCTTTTCAAATCTGGGGCCATAACAAAGTTCCTATGCATCTGCCTGCAAGTCTGTGAAATGACATAAGCTTATATTTCTTTTGGGTATAAATTAAGGAGTGGAATGACTGAGCCAAATAGTAGATGTATCGTTAGCTATTTAACCCATTTTCTAATGTAGTTATATAAATTCCACTTCCACCAGCAATGTGTGAGAGTTCTGGCTAACCCACTTCTTCACCAACCTCTGGTATAATCAGTCTTTTAAATTTAAGCCAGTCTAGTAGAAGTGTAGTGACATCTCACATGTTTTCAATTGGTATTTTCTTAACAACTTAACAGCTCTATTAGGCACTAATTCTCACGAGCTTACTTGCTCTCCATATATCGTCTTTTGTCAAATATTTTAAATTATTTTGTTCATTATAGTCATTGAACTCTTTGTGTTATTGAGTTGTACAGCATAATAAGGAGAAAAAGAGTAACAGAGAGGGTTATTTTTGACAGCCAGAGAAATGACATTTAAGCAGAAAAACTAAAAGAAGTAAAGCAGGAAGCCATAAGCATTTCTGGAAGAAGAGCCTTGTCAACAGGGTGAGATGCAAAGGCCCTGAGGCAGCAGAGTGCATGGTGTGCTTGAGGACTAGCAAAAAGCCCAGTAGGGCTGGAACAGAATAATCAAAGAGAGACAGGGAGAAGATAAGGAAGAATTTGTATAAAAATTCTATTTCACAGTGCATTAAATGGGACACCAAATCTTAAGAGACCTACCATATAGTGGATATTGTTTTAAAAATCAGTTTAATCCAATTAGTTACCCACTGGACTTACCCACTCTACATACCTTTTGTGGCTAAACCCTGGATTCTAACTCAGAAGCAACTCTTTACTGTGCTAGAGATTCTGTTTCCTGATTTCGTGCCTCCCTGGGGTCTGCAGATGTCTCTCCCCCTGGTCAGGCCCAGCCTTGGCGGGGCAGGAACTTGGAACGTGCAGCAGGGGTGGATCATTTAATCAAGAATTACTTAAACTTCTTACTGGACTTCGTTTACCATTATGATGGGACATAAAAGTTTAAGGGCTTTCGCCAAAAAAAAAAAAAAAAAATCTATGATCCAGCTCTATACAAGTTCTAATAAATCTGCAAAGAGGAAATTTATTATCTCTCAATAAACGTGTCTTTTCTGCACTATCTTCTGAAAACTTGAAAATCGCAGATATAAATCTCAGCTTTGGGCTTCATTTTTCTCTCCTCAGGGAAATGGAGTTCCAGACTCACGCATGACTGCCTCCTGGTGTCCCGTCTCTTGTTCCCAGCTGCTCTCCTCATTCATCTCCCAACTTCTCTCCTTTCCCGCAGCTTCCTTATCTCCCCATCTTGGAGAGCCCCAGAGTGTTCTGGAGGGGCACAGAAGTAGAGGAAAGCCCCTCTTGCCCTCAGTTTCTTCATCCTGGAAATGAAGAGGTTGGACCATGTGGCTTGGAAGACTCCTTCTTGTTCCAGTCCCTGGTGGGACCAGCCTGTAGCCAACGCTGCTGTCTTTGGAGGCTTGCTGGATGGGGCTAAAGAGGTGAGATGAAGACATGAGGAAGGGGCTTTCCTGTGACCACTCAAGGCCAAACATGCCCTCAGGTGGTCAGTGGAGAAAGCAAATATGCAGAGCTTGGTGTGAGCTGCTGCAAGGATGAGCCTGGGAACATCATGGTGAGTGAAAGGAGACAGGCACAAAGGCCATTGTAAGATTCCATTCATATGAAATGTCCTGGCTTGACAAATTCAAAGAGGCAGAAAGTAGATTAGTGGTTGGCAGAGAACAGGCATGGAGGATCTTAGCACTCACTGCTAAGGATGACAGGGTTGCTTTTGGGGGTGATAGAAATGCTTTGGTATGAGATAGTGGTGATGCTTGCAAAACACAGTGAACATACTAAAAACCACTTTAAATAATAAATTTTATGCTATATGAATTATATCTCAATTAAAAATGCATTTAGTACCTAAAAAACTGCAGACCTTGGCAAGCTGAGGACAAGTGAACAAAGGACCTGCCTCAGTGGGGACTAAAGAGCTCAGCCAGCTTAGACAAGGGGTGAGAGTGTCTAACCTCCCCGGCTGCAGGAGAGGGCAGCCAGACAGGCTTCCCTGATCCAGGAGACCCCTCCTGTCTGAGCAAGGCTGCTTATTGGGTTGGAGAGGCCCACAGCCCGGGAGGCTAGAGCCCAAATCCTAGATGCAGTGCATCTCAAGGTACAATCCCAGGACCATCTGCATCAGAACTAACTGGGGACCTTGTTAAAAGAGCAGAGTCCCAGCCCCCTCCCACACCTACTGAATTGGATTTTTATTTTTAACAAGCTCTCTGGGTGATTCTTTAACACACTTAAGTTTGAAAAAACATTTTGAGCTAGAGTGCCTTTCAAACTTTAAAGTGCATACAGATCACCTGGAGATCTTATTAAAATGTAGATGATGCTGATTCAGGCAGCCTGGGGTGGGGCCTGAGATTCTGCATTCCTAATAAGCTCCCACACAATGCTTCATGTTGCTGTTACACGAATTCTGCTTTGAGTGGCAAGGATTAGAACGGTCCTTAGACATGCTTGGGTCTCAACAAGATTCTGAATTGGTCTGTAGAGTGGCCTACAGACCAA